AAAGTATATATATATATATATATATATATATATAAATTTTTTAAAAATCCCCTTTAACTGTTTTTACTGGGATTTCAGGAAGGAGTAGACTAAATGTGTGTGCTCAATTGCTGTGTTATATAGGAAGTTCTAGAAATACCGGAAATACTTTTTCTTCTTAAGATTAGTATAAGTAATAAAATAAACAAGAACTTGCTTTCACACATTATCTAATAATCTAGCATTGAATTTTATAGATAACTACTTATCATTAAGTAACTTTAAAATAAGTTTCGCTACTTTAATGATTGTTTGAACAGTTGCTCTATATAATACAATTATTAACTCATCAAAAGAATTAGCACAGAAATGATTCTGCCTTTTAGTGCGATATTTTATTGTTACTGAGTGTAATGTACCATTTTAAATCTTCCCATAACAAATGAATAGCTGTTTTTCTTCTAGAGAATATAACCAATTTTTTAACCAATAGGTATCTTAAGGATCATGGTAGCAACAATTGATATAGTGAAAAATAACATCAAAAAGAATAGATATGATAGGGCACCTGGGTGGCTCAGATGGTTGAGCGTCTGCCTTTGGCTCAGGTTATGATCCCAGGGTCCTGGGATCGAGTCCCGCATCAGGCTCCCTGCTCAGTGGGAAGCCTGCTTCTCCCTCTGCCTCTCTCTCTCTCTCTGACTCTCATGAATAAATAAATAAAACATTTAAAAAAAAAGAATAGATATGATAAAATAACATAGAGGACTAAATAAAGGTTAATATGAATATTAAGCTGTTTGTTTATCTTCCTCTTTCTACTTTTGCTGGGCTTTTAGGATGGAGGAATTCCTCCTGCATAAGAGTCTATCCTACTGGTAAGCTCTGTGTAGTTTCATCCTTCCTGGGTCCAGTTAAATTTCCCCAGGCCATATCTCTTTCTACTGTAATCCATCTTACATCCCACCATAAGATTATTTCTAATTTATATTACAATTTTTATTTGTGGTAAAATATGCATAACATAAAATTTACCATCTTAACGATTTTTAAGTATATAGTTAAGTAGTATTAAGTATATTTGTGCAACAATCTCCAGAAATTTTTCATCTTGCAAAACTAAAACTCCATACGCATTAAACAACAACTCCCTATTCCCCTGTCCTCCTAACCCCTGGCAACTACCATTCTAATTTTTGTTTCTATGAGTTTGAATACTCTAGATACTTCATATAAGCGGACTCATACAATATTTCCCCTTTAGTGACTGGCTTGTTTCACTTAGCGTAATATCTTCAAGGTTCACTCATGTTGTAGCATGTGTCAGAATTTCCTTCTTTTTTAAGGCTGCATAATATTCCATTCTTGGTATAATACCAAAATTTGGTTATCCATTCCATTGGTGGACATTTAGGTGGTTTTTACCTTTTTGTGGGGGGAGAGAGAGAATCTTAAGCAGGTTTCGCACCCAGCATGGAAGAACAAAACAAAAGCAAATAGCTCAAATTGCTTATGATTTGCTATCTAAAGATTTTTTTCTGACTAATATGAGCTTTCTATGGGCTTAAGACTGTTCCCAGATCTTATTTTATGTTGTGGCTGTTTTCTAGAATTTCTTGGCCTTTTGGCTATTGCCCTAGAACTTTGAAGGCGTATAAAACATGGATAAACTGGTGGTTAGCCTTTCAGGTAGCTAGGTGACTAATTTCAGTGGGAGGGCAGGTGACTAGATAGGTGAGTTGATAAGTATGAGATAGATGTGTTTATAACCTGTTTCAAAGCATGACACTAGCTGGGTAAGTGTGCCTCAGAGGTAGAGAGGCCTCCATTGCAGTCCTGCTTTGCCCCTACCACCTTGCTTCCCTTAGACAAGAACTTCGTGGTAGTTATCACAGTCCTTTATATGAGCACTTTTTATAATGTGTAATTATATTAATTGTTAAATTTCTGCCTTCCCTATCAGGCAATAGGTCCAATGAGGGTAGAGACTATTTTTTTCACCACTGTATCTCCAATGTCAGTGTCTCACTGTAGCTGGCATATAGTAAATGCTCAATAAATGTTTACTTAAGAAATGATAGACTGACCAGAGTTGAAATGACAGTGAATATTTGCCATACTAAATATGGCAAATTGAAATACTTGGAATCATAAAGGGTTTAGAAAAGTAGCAAGAGAGAGGGGCGCAAGCTTCAAGGCAGGCATGCTAGTATCCATGTAAACTGCTTATCTTCGACAGGTGGTGCAGGATCTCATGACCTTGCTTCAAGGCAGCAAAAACTGTCTTCAGAAAGATGAAAAATAAAAAGATCTGTACCTGGTCAGTGGCAGTTTGTCACTCTCTAGCCTACCGTGAAAAACACTTCTAAGAGCTTTATCTTTTTTCCTTTTTGAAAGATACATATGTTCACTGTTAGAACACAGAAGTGTATATATGTTAATTTATTTGTTTGACTTTTCAAACTCATCAAGTTTTAGATTTTCATAAAGAATCATATTCTTTAGTTATTTTTTCTTTATTCCACATGGTGGAAATTTCAGTTCACTCTTTGGCAGTCAGATTTATTTACCTAGCAATACCTTATACCAGAATTTTCTAAGTATTTAAAAAAATATCAGTTCCTTCTTTACAATGTGCCTATGACATTCAACAAGCATGCTTTCCATTTTTTTGACATGGAAATTAAAGCAAAGTAAGGTGTTTTACTATAGACCATACAATAGGTTCCTTCATTTTAGATCATTAAATTAACACACTGAAACAGCAGACCCAGCAGTTAGTCTTTCTGATGATTATCATTCCATATGTGGTTTTCTCTGAAATTGGGCCCTAAGGAATTAAGAGAAAGTATCTCTATTCCGGAATGTAAAATTAAAATAGATTTCCAGTTATGTATGTTACACTCTGGCAGGTTTGATGACTTCTGATCTAGCTTACTTTTTTTTTTTCTTTTTCCACACAGATTGATAGAACTACATTCTCCTGATAGCAGGAACACGTTGATCCTACGCTGCAAGGATACAGCCACAGCACACTCCTGGTTCGTAGCTATCCACACCAACATAATGGCTCTCCTCCCACAGGTATTGGCTGAACTCAATGCCATGCTTGGTGCAACCGGTACAGCAGGAGGCAGCAAGGAGGTCAAGCACATTGCCTGGCTGGCAGAACAGGTAGGTTGAGAGGCAGGGCAAGGTCTCCCTGGGTCACCATTCAGAGCCAAGGTGGTTCCCCCATTTCATATATTTATAATATTTATCATGCAGTCGGGTCCTGAATATCTAGCTTGCAGATCTTTTGTTTGTTGGTTTTGTGTTTCTCCTCCCTACCATTTAGTTATTTGTTGCTAATTATCACCTCCACTAGAAGAACCGACTGTCATGATAGTCATCAACACAACATAACTAAAAAGAGATTCTTATTACCATCTCCGTCCTTAATGACAGAGAATAATTTTCATGATTTTAGAATAAGATCAGCAAACTTTTTCTGCAAAGGGCCAGATAGTGTCACAACTCCTTGACTGCGCAGTTGCAGCAAGAGAACAGTGGTAGACAGTATGTAAATGGAGAGGTGTGGCTGTGTTTCAAATAAAACTTTATGTACAAAAACGGGTACCGGGCTGCATTTGGCCCATAGGTCATAGTTTCACAACCCCTGTTCTAGTCTTCTGCCAGTTTTAGGGACAGAAAGCTTACTCTTCTGTTCTGGGAAAAGTATAAAATATGCAAAATATTTTACAAGCCATCAGCCAAATGTACAGTTGTCTTTTGTTTTAACTAGAGTTTGTGAGGTCTGGCCCCCCATGCCCCACCTCAGCAGAGTTCTGATTGGATAGATCTGTGGTGGGGTCTAGCAGTCTTGTTTGGTAACTCATCAGCGGATTGTGTGGAGACCAACATTGGACTCCACTAATCTGTCTTTTCTTTTGAGCTCTGAAATTTTATAAATGTTTCAAGTAATAATTATAATAAATTAGAACACAGAATTAGCACTATGATAATTTGTAGGAAGCATAATTAGGATAACTAAGCAGAGAAGAAACTAATGAGAATCACGGTATAAGTACTTATGACTTTGAAAGTTTTAGTATTTTAGTTATGTTTATCATTGTTTCTAAATTTTTTAAAGTTTTTTATTTTAATTCCAGCATAGTTAACATACAGTGTTATATTAGTTTCAGGTGTACGATATGGTAATTCAACAGTTCTGTACTTTACTCAGTGCTTATCATGGTAAGCCTACTCTTTAAACCCCATCACCTATTTCACCCATCCCCCATCCACCTCCTTTCTGATAACTATCAGTTTGTTCTCTATAGTTAAGAATCTGTTTCTTGGAAAATTAATAACTATTCTTAAACTATTCCAAAAAAGAGAAAAGTAAGGAAAACTTCCAAATTCATTCTATGAGAACAGCATTACCCTGATACCAAAACCAGATAAAGACATGACTAAAAAAGAGAACTATAGGCCAATATCCCTGATGAGCATAGATGAAAAATTCTCAAAAAAATATTACCAAACCAAGTTCAAAAATACATTTAAAAAAATCATTCATCTCAATCAAGTGGGATTTATTCCTGGGTTACAAGTGTGCTTTTTTTTTTTTTGAAGATTTTATTTATTTATTTGACAGAGAGAGACACAGTGAGAGGGAACACAAGCAGGGGGAGTGGGAGAAGGAGAAGCAGGCTTCCCGCTGAGTGGGGAGCCTGATGTGGGGCTCGATCCCAGGACCCTGGGATCATGACCTGAGCCGAAGGCAGCCGCTTAACGACTGAGCCACCCAGGCGCCCCTACAAGTGTGCTTTGATTCACAAATCAATCAGTGTGATACATTACGTCAATAAGAGAAAGGATAAGAACCATATGATCATTTCAATAGATGCAGAAAAAGCATTTGACAATGTATAACATCCATTCATGATAAAATCCCTCCACAAAGTAGGTGTAGAGGGAACATATCTCAACATAATAAAGGCTGGATATGAAAAACCTACAGCGAACATCATACTCAATGGATGTCCACTCTTTTTTTTTTTTAAAGATTTTATTTATTTATTCATGAGAGACAGAGGGAGAGAGAGGGAGAGAGAGAGAAGCAGAGGGAGAAGCAGGCTTCCAAGGAGCAGGGAGCCCGATGCGGGACTCGATCCCAGGACCCTGGGATCATGACCTGAGCCGAAGGCAGACGCTTAACCATCTGAGCCACCCAGGCGCCCTGGATGTCCACTCTTATCACTTTTATTTAACATAGTACTAGAAATCCTACCCACAGCAGTCAGACAACAAAAAGAAATAAAAGAGAACCTAATTGGTGGGGAAGAAGTAAAACTTTCACTATTTGCAGATGGCATGATACTCTATATAGAAAACCTAAAAGACTCCACCAAAAAACTGCTAGAACTCATAAGTGAATTCAGTAAAATCCACAGGATACAAAATCAGTGTGCAGAAATCTGCTGCACTTCTATACACTAAAAATGAAGCAGCAGAAAGAGAAATTAAGAAAAAAATCCCATTTACAATTGCACCCAAAATAATAAGATATCCAGGAATAAACCTAACCAAAGAGGTGAAAGACCTGTACTCAGAAAACTATAAAACACTGATGAAAGAGATTGAAGATGACAAAGAAAGACATATCATGCTTGTGGCTTGGAAAACTAAATATTGTTAAAATGTCTATAGTACCCAAAACAACCTACACATTTAATGCAATCCCTATCAAAATACCAACAGCATTTTTCACAGAATTAGAACAAAGAATACTAAAATTCGTGTGGAACTGCAAAAGACTCTGGATAGCCAAAGCAATCTTGAAAAAGCAAGGCAAAGCTGGAGGTGTCACAATTCTAGACTTCAAGTTGTATTACAAAGCTGTAGTAATCAAAACAATATGGTACTGACACAAAAATAGATCAGTGGAACAGAATAGAAAATCCAGAAGTAAACCCACAATTATATGGTCAATTAATCTTCAACAAAGGAGGAAAGAATATCCAATGGGAAAAAGAATGTCTCTACAACAAATGGTGCTGGGAAAACTGGACAGCTATATGCAGAAGAATGAAACTGGACCACTTTTTTGCACCATACACAAAAATAAGTTAAAAATTGATTAAAGACCTGAATGTGAGGGACACCTGGGTGGCTCAGTCAGTTAAGTGGCTGCCTTTGGCTTGGGTATTGATCCCGGGGTCCTGGGATGGAGTCCTGCAGGAAGCCTGCTTCTCCCTCTGCCTGCCACTCCCCCTGCTTGTGTACTCTCTCTCTGACAAATAAATAAATAAAAATCTTTAAAAAAAAAAAAGACCTAAATGTGAGACATGAAACCATAAAAGTCCTAAAAGAGAGCACAGGCAGTAATTTCTCTGACATCAACTGTAGTAACATCTTTCTAGATAGGTCTCCTGAGGTGAGGGAAATAAAAGCAAAAATAAATTATTGGGACTTCATCAAAATAAACTTCTGCACAGCAAAAGAAACAATCAACAGAACTAAAAGGCAGCCTACTGAATGGGAGAAGATATTTGCAAATGACATATTCAATAAAGGGTTAGCCAAAATATATAAAGAACTTATACAGCTCAGCTCCCCCCTAGAACACAAGAAACAAGTATTGGGAGGATGTGGAGAAAAAGAAACCCTTGTGCACTGTTGGTGGGAATGCAAATTGGTGCAACCACTGTGGAAAATAGTATGTAGATTCCTCATAAAATTAAAAACAGAACTACCTTATGATCCAGCAATCACAGTACTGGGTATTTACCCAAAGAATATAAGAACACTAGGGCGCCTGGGTGGCTCAGATGGTTAAGCGTCTGCCTTCGGCTCAGGTCATGATCCCAGGGTCCTGGGATCGAGTCCCGCATCGGGCTCCCTGCTCCTTGGGAGCTTCTCTCTCTCTCTCCCTCTCCCTCTGTCTCTCATGAATAAATAAATAAAATCTTAAAAAAAAAAAGAATATAAGAACACTAATTTGGAAGGTTACATGCACCCTTATGTTTATTGCAACATTATTTACAAGAGCCAAGGTACGAAAGCAGCCCGAGTGTCCAATGACTGATGAATGGATAAAGAAGATGTGGTATATATACACAATAGAATATTATTCAGCCATAAAAAAGAATGACATCTTGACATTCGCAACAATATCAATGGGGCTAGACAGTAAGATGCTAAGTGAAATAAGTCAGTCAGAGAAAAATACCATATGATTTCACTCATATGTAGAATTTAAGAAACAAACAACAACAACAAAAAAAAAACAAACAAGCAAAGGGAAAATATAAGAGAGACAGAAACAAATCAAGAAACACACTCTTAACTATAGAGAACAAACTGATGGATGCCAGAGGGGAGATGGGTGGAGGGATGGGTTGAATGGGTGATGGGGATTAAGGAGTGCACTTGTGATGAGCACCAGGTGATGTATGGAATTGTTGAATGATTATATTGTACACCTGAAACTAATGTAACACCGTATGTTAACTAACTGGAATTAAAATAGAATCTTAAAAAAATAAAATGCACTTTTTATCCTCATAAAAAAAAGTTTGTTTTTTGGTTTGCCTCTTTCCTTTGTTCATTTGTTTTGTTCCTTAAATTCCACATATGAGTGAAATCATATGGTATTTGTCTTTCTCTGACTGACTTATTTCACTTAGCATTATACTTCAGTTCTGTCCATGTTGCTGCAAATGGCAAGATTTCATTCTTTTTATGGCTGAATAATACTCCATTGTGTGTATGTGTGTGTGTGTGTATACCACATCTTTTTTTTTTTTTAAGATCTTTATCTTTAAGTAATCTCTACACCCAACAGGGGGCTCAGACTTAGAACCCTCGGAGATCAGGAGTCACATGGTCCACTGACTAGCCAGTCAGGCGCCCCTATACCACATTTTCTGTATTCAATCATCTATCGATGACACTTGGGCTGCTTTCACAGGTTAGCTATTATAAATAATGCTGCCATAAGCAGAGGAGTGCATATATCCTTTCAGATTAGTATCTTTGTATTCTTTGGGTAAATACCCTGTAGTTTGATTACTGGATTTTAGGGTAGTTCCATTTTTAATTTTTTGAGGAACCTCCATGCTGTTTTCCACAGTGACTACACCAGTTTGCATTCCCACCAACAGTGTAAGAGGGTTCTTTTCTCTTCA